TACTCTTGCGTGTCGAAGCATTGATTCGGACTCGCACTGGTTTCACACCATGAAACAAACGCTATACAAACTGCGAATTAAATATTAAACCCAGGATAACTGTGTTAATAGTAATCTATGCAGGTTGGCAAATAATTTATTCTGAGATACTGTTTTATTCAAAATTCACTGTAAGTCTGTTGCCAGCAAAACCTGCATCGTAGCAATACCGTGGCAGGTTGGCGGTGACAATGAAACAGGCAATTGAACACAAGATCGCGTCTCTGCATCCCGTAATAACCCATCCAATCGACTGTACAAACCTATTTGACATAGTAATTAAAACCCTTAATGAGTGCCATTCATCACCATTATAAAACTAAACGACGAAGTGGCGCAGCGGTGGTTCAAAAATGATAGAATGAGGGAGGCTAAAAGAAACGCTGGTCTCGGGCGGATTAAATCGCGTCACGCACAACTGCTCCAATACATCATCCTGGGCGCTTGCAATTTTTGTAAAACGCCAGATATTACGGTCAATTAGTCGAGCTTTAATTAGGATGTGCATCCAGACCAATACATTTTGCTTTACTGACATCATAAATGTAAACGATAAAAAATGGGGAAACAACGTCAAAAAGTGTCTATGATAATAAGCATAGGTTGAACAATATTAATTTTAATACAAATCAGTAATCATACACACACACACACACACACACACACACATATATATCCCAGCCAAAATCTTACATATTATTACATATTTCGTGGTTTTCAGTGGCAGCCATATTGCGAGAAAATATAAGAATTGTTTGTTTTTTTACGGCAGAGATGACGTTTTGTCTGGTTTTGTTTTGTTTTGCAGTATACTTAAAGACCGCTCGAACGAATTCACAATGAAAATTAATATTAATGTGATTTTCCACCCAACGACTAAAATTGAACAACAGTGTTTGGTATACGTTACAATATACACGTCTTACGGGTCTTGAAATTAATGAAATGATCGAATCTATTGTTCTCATGTTTGCTGAGACCTTTGAGAAGAATGACACGGCAACATATATTCTCTGCTTTGTTTGAGAAATACTGAAAGTGGTAACAGATTAGTTACTGCCCCACTAAAGGTTCAATGGAATTCGTTTATAACACAATTAAACATGTGTCTGTTTTTCTTTCGTCTACCGTATTGTATGTAACCTCACAAAATTGCCTTCGAATATCATGGAATTACCTTGGACGAATATTTTCAATGCCGCAGTTTGATGACGAATGTGCACTTCGTTGATTATGTTTAAGAGTAGGATTAAAATGTCAGGGGATATTTTCATTGATACTTTTAGGGGGAATTGAGATATCCGCTCAAAATATTTTATCAAGCGAGCAAAATGTCTTATTTAGACCGAGACAATTTTTTTGTTCTGTTAATTCTATTAGTCTCATTTTGTTTTGTACAGAGGGAACTAAGATATTGCAGATAGATTACCTGTACCAAATGTTCAAAAGATTAGTTCGATTGTGTTTGTTATTAGCAGCAGTTTTTTTAGACTCTAAAAATCAATATCAAGTTATGGGGGCGCTATCAGTGAAAAAAATGCTCTTCAAAATGGCGTCTCTTTGACTTTCAGCGTACTCAACAAACAATAATAAAAGAAAAGTCACGGTAGACCCCACTGGTGATAAAACGGACCCTGGGACAGTGGGTGCGCTAAGGCACGGCGTGTTGGCTTAGGTGTAAGAGCGTGAAACAAGTTAACCATAGCGAATATAGCGTCTTTGTTCAGGCTGGGAGCGCTGAAAGGCGTTGTCTGATTGTACGCTGCTGTCTTTTCAAAGTCTTCTTTTCTTCCTTCTTTCGTAACTTGCACAACAGAGTTGAAAGAACACAGAGGCACCGAGCGGGACCAGGTACGCTTGGTAACAATCGCTTGCCAACAAAGTGTGAAATGCGTTGTCACACGTGAATAAAAGCATAACTCCGCCTCGTTTCAATCAATCACTGCTTCCGATGCTTTCAAAAATCCACACTCAACAACCCCTGCATGTTATAGGGACGACGTAATTTGGTGTTTTCTTTAGAATCCAATTGCACAAGACTGCTCGGTGCGTCCAGTTTGGAAAAGTATACACAACGTACAATCTGGTTTACACCTTTGACACAACTAATAGCAGAGGGAAGAGGAGGCATGCCTTGCCACAGAGGGTCGAAAGCACAGTGAGAAAAAAATAAGGCTAAAAACCTGGTCGGATAAAGTGACATCCTGCATAAAGACAGGTATACTCTTTAATGAACCACAATTAAGTGTAATTGGCTGGGCGGGGAAGACATGTCATCCGATAGCATGGCTAAGTGCTCCGTGCTGTACCTTGCTCTCTATTTAGGAAGTATTTAATTGGTTAAGTCGGGAGAGTAAAAGAGAAGCTCAAGATATAATGTTTTCTTAGACCTGGACCCTTAGAGTTTTTGAATTAATTACTGTCAGTTTTTTGTTCAGTAAAGTACCTAATCCTGGCAGGATCCGAGCCACCTGCCGAGTTAACTTGCTGCGCACTGAAGACACACTTGTTTCTGTCTTGACGCCGTAGGGAAAGTCAAGGTTTTTTGATACAGTATCTGTCCTGAAAATTAGATAATTATGTTGAGTTTTTTCCTGCAGTAAAAGCTAGCACATGACTTTTTAATTTTACATTCGAATTCGTGATTTTTACTTCTTGTAATTTTATCTATATAGGGTATTGCTTAGCATACAGGTATAATGCACTTACTGTATCTGAGGTCTAAAGCATTGGGTACATCTCAATAATACTGTATTCATAACAATAAAATTCCCCAGACAAAAAATTGAAGTCGTTTGGGAACCAAGTGGGTATCAGGTATTTATCATTCCAACTTTATTAGTTTTCGTTGTGAATGCCGTTCTACCTGACCTGATGCTGGTCATGAGGTATAACCTGTGGATTTTCCAAAATTTCACACCTGAGAAAAGTTTCTCCGTCTTGACAAATACATTTCACGCTTTTACAATAGTCATTTCACACTTCAGAGACTGAACAATGGCACTGATATAATGACACATTAATATGAAGCGTTTACGCGAATATCTTTAGCGGTGTAATAAATTGGAAGAAATGAGCAAATATTGGACGGATAATATAGGGTAAAGAGCGGTTTCGGCAAATTTATGGAGCTCAGTCGACAAGAAAATCTGCTCCTGACTGTTCTGGTCACTCGTGGAGACTTCTGATCTAATGACATGTAACCAATTCACAGTTGTTGTTGTTGTTGTGCGGATGAAGGTTTCTTTCCGTGTAAATAACATTGTAGCTACCCAGTAGAGATATCATTTGCACATGTAAAGGATTATTAGTGCGCGGACTTTGACTGAAAAATATGAGTAATCTATCAAAAGAAAGTTTTAGTAGAAAGGTAGGATTATTATCAGAAATTTAAGACTTTTTTGTTTTTATCTAATTATGTTTTGTTTGAACGTGTTTTGTGTTATCGGAGACGCCTACGTTCCTAATACACTTTTATATCATACTTCAATTAATTTGAGTGTGATTTCAGTTATCTCGGGCAGTAATTTCTTTTGCTTTTATGCTTCAACAAATGTCAACACCATAGCTCAGGTTTGATAAGAGTTCCAAATTTTAATTTCAAAATATTTTGTAAAACATAATGAAGTACATTGAAAATAAACATGAATATATGAATAAACAAAATAAATAAAGAAGTAAGCAAATTTTATTTCGGATAAACACTCAGTGAGGGGTACCACAGAGCCAACCAGATACCACCTCAATCGGGACACCTTGAAATATTGTAATTCACACCTTTAAAAGCCCTGGGGGTGCGTCGCAAAATTTGTCGAAGATACGCAATTCTTGTTGAGTCTAGTACAAAGTGGCTACAATAGCTAACCGGAGTCTATTGTGCTGAATATTCGAGAGCATGGGGTGACAGAGAACTCTGACAGTACCTACCTAAAATAGCGGTATTGATATTCTTCCTAGATTCTGGACCATTTGCACCTTTCACGCTGTGCATGCGGCGTAATTTTCGCCCAGTACAATACTTTCCACGGCGGAGAAGCTCTTAGACCTGTGGCCTACTCCGATAGTTAGTTAGCGCGCATTTGTGTCGTGATTAGGAATTAAATAAGAAACCAATTTGCGGGCGAGGATTTTAGAGCTTAAAACGCCAGGCTTCAAAATTGCAATTCATTTGAAGAAGGCTAATTTGACAAGCAAGTAAACAAGTTTTCTGTTGCAAATTAATCAGCTTACACTTAAATTTGGTTAGAATGCTCCTGTTTGCTTTACATTAACACTTATCATTGTACTGTTAATGTGAAAGAGAGGAGCAGTTGAAGTCAAGTCCTTGCCATTATGAATTTATTAAACAAGAAAGGATACCAAAATTAAAGCCATTTCCAAATCTACATTTGAACAAATCTGATAGAAATATACTAAAACTCCCTTTCGATTTTTTCCTTTCTAATGAAAATCATACCGAATCAAAGAAAACCAAATACTTTTTGTTCTCATCTCAGTAATATTACATTACAAAATACAATACAGTTGTTGTTAAACCTTCCCCTTTTTAATTTTTGGAAAACCTTCCCACAAGCAAGCATAACATTTTTTAATACTTAATGGGATGCTGGTTGCTGTGGGGTTATTGTATAATTATGTTGGCAGGTCAAACTTAGCTGTCAAAGATATACTTTAATTGAGAAGTTTTTGTTCTAAGTTGATAACCCGTCGAAAACCAGTTTGATTGACTGACTCATTGAAATTCCCCGCTTTAGATTTCTACGCTGCGAGGGGTTGCCCTCCTGTGCTGTGCGCTGATTGGTCGAAGTTGGTGAATACTCTGTTGACTATTTACGTCACGGCGCGAGGTGGCCGCCTTGCTCAGTAGTGGAACTCACTGTTCAATACTATGTTGGTGACGGGAGGCACGGTGGTTTCGCCAGCGCACGCTGAGTAAGTTTCTAACCCCCGGGCAAAGGCCCTCATTTACGATGGGTTTATTTTTTTCACAGGACTCCCCTTATAAACGGGGAATCACCCCTGCAGTCTCCGGCTCGTCTGGAGTCGGATTGATCGTATATGTTGTTCCTCACGGTTGGACTACGGTGTAAAATATGCTCGTGTTTGATTGGTGATGGCGAATTTGAAAAGCTGAGGTCGAGCGTGAGGAAAAGGTGTTTTGATCTCTGGTTATTTCGTTCACTTCATGTTAGCGATGCTCAAATGGCATTCTAGTCGCACAACCGATGATACCTCTAGCAAGGATAGTGAGAGTGAGCGTCGAGGCGTTCTGTCTGTCGAGTGGACATGAGTGAAAATTAGAACTCAGACTTGGGACTGGGGGTACGGATATTCAACGCCATCAAGTTGGTTTAACAGGCTGTGGAATGATATTTATTTTGTTTTTCAATTTTAACACCAATACTGGTGTAATCGAATGAATAGAATTTTACTTTTTTTTTATTATGATATTTTTTTCACACGTCAACGATGACTGCTTCTTTTATGCACTTATTTATTTTTTTACTTCCTAGGCATAGTCTACGTTCCTCGAGCAGCAATATACACTCTAATTTTTATAGCTTAGTAAGATAATTTTTTTATCGTTTTCAGGTATTCTCACACCCCTCAAGCCCCCGACGGCTTGGATCTTCAATCATTCTGTGCAGACGACGACGACCACACCACTCCCCTGCCAATGACAATGCCACACAAAGGTAGGTCTATTTAATGTACTCTTAAATATTTCACGTTTATGGCTAAAAAAATCCCTGTAAATATTCTTTCAAAATTCGGAAGATATGGTTTTGTGCACATTTTTTTGTAATTTTATTCTGCATCCCTGCATCACGTTTTCTTAGGGGTCTATTTGTAATGTTCGTATATTAAGTGCAGCGAAGAGTTCTTAATTTTGTTCCCTGCGACCACAACGGTCAGTGAATATCGTCCAGTTTTATTTGACTAACAATTCAGACTTAACACGCACTCAACGCTAGTCGATACACGTAATCTAAAATACTTAACGGCGATCGTTGGGTTTATGTAAACTTGCGCTTTTCATACCGCCCTTTTGTCTGGGAAATTATTTGGAGTGAAGTTAGGAGATTCAATATTCAATTCCTGTCAGTAATCAGCTTTGTGGCCCTTTACCTCAACGTCCTCATTATGCGACGGAGATCCTTTATTAAAATGAATAATTCCTTTTGAAAATAGAAATGTAAAGCAAATTATTCTTAAAATTATTTTTCCGTTAAAGATATTATGGGGAAATAGTTGGGGTACATGCATAATAAATTGCACATTTCTCTTCTTTTTAACTCGACAGTTAAAGTCGAAAACGAATTTTATTTTGGGTTCTCTCAAGCTTTCTTTCAATTAGCTTGAGAAAAGTATAGCTTGCCACATTAGCTTAACACCTGCAGTTTTTGCCCATTCAAGTGATCTTCCCAACCCCCATATTAGGTGAGCTAAATATCCCACACCTGACTAAGATTGAATGTAGAGCCAAGACGGCAGAACGCTGCTTGTGACACTGGATCACTCTGTTTATTACCTCCCCTGACAAAATAATTAAAAGGAGATTCAATCTACAGAAGCGTAGAGAGGAGAGCTGTTGGGTGGTAGGATTTCTTGAATTTTGTCTTTAGTTACTGAAGAGAATAATCCTTATCTAAAGCAAGGACAGCTAATTTCCATGCTATTGTTGAAGCTGTCACAGGTCTGAAAACGAGGAGATTCAGCATCGGTGGGGAGCAGCGATATGATCGCGGCCTTCTCCCAGTTTACCTTACCAAAATATCTCCCCTTTACAATGACACTTTTTAAACGCTAAAAACTTTAATCCCTTTGATGTATCGACGAATACCCGCGCAGCTGACAAGACATAAGAGCGTTCTATTCAACTGTTTACTAAATCCAAAATCCATTTAACTAGACTTTAAGGAATATACTTAAAGTTCAATTTTCCATAGTGAATTGTCGTTGGGTTCTTTAACTTCGTATAGATATAACTCATTAAGTCGGAGTTTTGCTCCGAAGGAAATGAGATTTATTTTAAGTTCGGTTTGTTATATATATTTATATATAAATCCCCGGTAATACCCAAATCGTCTATTGGGCGTTATTTTCAACTTTAATTTCTAGGTCTCGGAATACATTTTTCAAGTAATATTTCGGATGATAAGTGCTCTTGCAGCCTGTTTTCCTTCGCAGAATTATTTTCCACCTCATTAGTCTGCGATGACAGTGTCACCCAAACATCGCTGTCACTCACTTATCTGTACAATACCTTCTTGGCATGGCTGATAGGGACATCCCTTCTTTCACGTCGAACTAAACGGTCGACTAATAATATTATTACGCGTTGCATCATGACTCAGTTCACAAGCTATTCTGTCGAACAAGCCGGGGGCCATCTTGTTAACAATACGGACGTATAATTACCAAGAGATCCTAAAAGATTTCGCAACCAGCATTTAACAAGGTAATTCATTAGGAGGAATACCCTAATTAGCTGCTGTTCTGACTGGTAAATTTCCTTGTTTGACCTAGTTCTGTTGGCACGGCCGCTCGGCCCAGGTGTGCCAGTCGATGCCGCTCTTTCAAATAATTTCCAAAGCATTCGTCTAAAGAAGAATAGAAAAAATTATTGACATTTGTGAGAGGCTGTGGCGTCAAGCCAGTTCATAAAAAAAGCCCATTACACGACACTTTGAGAAGCAGTAACATGGGAAAAATTTTAGTATAAAGGACGCAGTCATTGTTCAGTTAATGTTTTGAACACGGAAATTCATCCATTTAGACAGTGTAGGCGAGTCCATCTGCCCCAGTCAAACTCTGTTACTCACCATTTTCTCTCAATTTGATTTAACATAAACTATTTCAAATTTATCCCTGTATGAAGGAAGTTACAGCTCACAGAAATAAGGTCATTAAGCAAATTAAGATTAGCTTAACATTTTTGGTGTTAAGTTTCAGAAACAAGATACAAACAAACTTGCTTTAATTGCCAAAATGCCTGTCAGTTGGATGTACTCCACCTTGTTTGCTGCGAACTCCTTCAATCTTTGTTTTTTTCAGACCACGACGAATATCATGTTAAAGTATACATAAGACTTAGTGTCAAAAATATCGCCGACGGGCAAAAACATTCTCCAAAAACATGAAATTCCACTCTAATGGAGACAGGGCACCGTTATTTGACTGGTTGAAGCTGTTACAGTCTATACTATTTATTTAATTTGTCCCATTTCCTTTTCATTGAACATAACATCATGTCGTTTTGTATTTTGTTTTTAAGTGTTGATTTTTTTTCGAAAATACATATTCTGATGCTTACACCTCATTAATATTTAATAATAAATGAGAAAAATATTTTTGTAAAAAATGAAAGTTACCAGTAATTTTCAAACTTTTTTTCGTTTTTGTTTTCGAGCAGACGACAGCTCAGATCAGCCGCAAGCGCAGCAAGCTGATTCCCAGAGTCAACCGGGCTCACAGTCCAGTCCTTCCTCACAACAGAGACCCAGGCCTAAGCGAGGTAAATATGATTAATATTATATCCATATTGTCCGGCTAAACATAAGGTTGCTTGCTTTTGGGAATTTTGACTGTTTATGTGCACATAAAAACTGTCTATTTTTGGACATTCTGCCGATTGCTTTCCAACCCATTTTTAGAACTGGTTTGCTTAAATCTCTCTGAAAATAAAAGCACCAGTATGACCTCTCAGCCCATGTGCATTTAACTCACCGAGTTCCATTCTTATTGAAAGTTACAACCAAAAAACGTGATTTTATCAATTTCTTCTGCAACAAGCCGCGTTTTCTTGGTCTCCCAAATGAGCAGCCGACAATGAGTGTTATGGAGGACGAAAATGACCATTTCACTGACCATGTTCTTCCATTATTCAGCAGAGAAAATATTACAAGACTTACGTAACATGGGACGTGATGTTCTCAATAATCTATGTACAAATAAATATTTGAAAGGAAAAGAATAAACAATGCTGTAGTCGATCAAAGTTTGGGGAGCATAACCTAGAGTGCATAAGGTTGGAGACTCGGTGACCGTCTGTTTCAAAAGAATTTTGCACGAGCTGCACCCAGCTGTATCGAACCAGAAAATCAATTATAATTAAGAGAGTAATATTATGACTATGTTTTTGCAAAGAAATTTTGATTCTTCGTATTAATTTTTTCTGAGTGGGTTGAACAAAAAGAATGTTCATGTGTGTAAGGAAATGATGCATGCTGGGAACTATGTGACAATCATATAGTCAATACACCATTACAATGAGCACATCTGCAAATTCTAATATCTAAACCAATAGTCTTTGAAGATTTGAAAGAACTCCATTGTTTCTGGCTTTCTTGACCGGGTTACATCACATAAAACGTAGTATTGGGTCAGGACCCCATTTTGGTTTCCTTTCACTGGAGCACATTGGAGTCGTACCTTCTCTCTGCTTTTCAAAAGGTTGATACGCAGAAAGGAAAGATTTCCACCTTCCAAAATTATTATTGTTGCTTACATGCTCTTCTTTCGTTCATAACAAATACTAGGTTATTCAGGTGGTCAGGGTCGCAGTAAATCAAAGCAAGCGATAAGAAAGTCCACATTTTGTGAGCTTTGAATGCGCTCACTATACAAGAACGTGAGTTCGACAAGACGGAGAAAGAGCAAAAACAAAACCATGCGAAATCGATCCCTTTTGTTTTCAAGGCTTTTGCATGACTTTAGCAACGCGTCTTTTACAAGGACCTGTTGGTCGATAAGGTTTTGGATCTGATAGAAAAGTCATTACGTACTCGTTGACACCCTTCGTTTTCGCGTAACAATCTCACCATTACTGTTTAGAGTTGTGTACGACCGTAATTTAAAAGGTCATTACATCAGTTGGGGATGAAGCTATTTTTCTATTCACGCACTCACAGGGCTTCGAAAAACACGTGTCGTATGTCTTCATTCATTCTAAGGCTTTTCATCTGCCGGAGTCCATTTTCACTGCCTCTTCGGGATGTGGCCAAAGAAAGGCCCAGAGTTTTGTAATTATAACGAAGCTGCAAGTATAATGAAAAGCACAAGCTGTAGGCAATCCTTTGAAGAGAGTTAGGGCTCGTGCAAAGATTTTTGTAGTAAAACTGACCTTGTATTGTTTATTTTTAATGACATGTTTATTATTATTATTATTATTATTATTATTATTATTTTAATAATTAAGATTTCAGAGAATATGCATATTTTGCTTTTTTAAGATTCAGAATTCTGATAAATTTTTTTCATCCGAGGATATATTGCAGATAAATTTTTTCTTCTCCCAGAAAGAAGAAAAAATTTGTGACTGGTGAGTTCATAACAAGTGAGGTTTCTTTTCTGTTCAACCCACTGTCAAACCACAGCGTGTCATTACCGATTTTCCAGAAATATGATTTTCAGTCTGTTCCTACCTTTTCTTAGTAGAAAACTGTGTCAGACGAAGCCCCGGGCATAGTACAATTTTGTTTTAATTAAGAATTCTTGTGGTATGGATATAAGAACGTGTAAATATGTTATCCAGCTATATGTAGATGTATACTCATCGACACAGCAGAAGGGGAATTTCCTGAATTTGGAATCTTTGAAAATATTAATCTTTGATTAAATGCCAAATAAAAAAAAATATATATTGAATAGTATCATTACAATCCACTGGGTTGAACTGTTTTTCAGACAAAAAAGGTGTGTTTTAAACTTCACATCTTAGCTCTTGCTCAGATCATTGAACACCCGAACAATAGTTGCAGAGAATGAATTATGAAAATTCAGATGGTGGTAATTTGTCCTCTTTGTTGACATTAAGCGCTTTAAACGTGCTCACATTGGTTTTATCATCCATTTGTTATCTGTGATACTAGTACTATCCGTTAACAACCTCCACTGACTTTAACGGCTCCATTAAGTATTATAACAGCGGATGTCTCTTTTAATATGAGATAGAGATAGCTTTCGTTTGGGAAATTGTTGGTCAGCTTCGTCACATATTCGGGTTGCCGTTCCATACAACATTAATTAGATAGATAATGAGAATCCCTATCCTCATAATCTACCCATACTGTCAGTTCAATGTATTTCATTATTTCCAATAATTTCTTAATTCTCATTTTCAATAATTAATGATATTTGGTTCTTATTTTTCCAATAGTAGTTTGCTGGCGTGGGGGCTAGAACAATATGACCGGCTGTTTTTTATATGAGCAGCGTTAATGGAGCCTGGCATATACCTGTTTTTTGTTCAAAATATGAGCTCTTGACGTTAAGTCGATGATGTTCCTATCTTTGCTGAGAAATTAATCTTTTGATATGAAATTTTAGATTCCCACAATCCATTGCAAGTCCACCATCTCGATCACGTGGACAACGTGTCCTTCGATCCAAACGACCCCAGTAAGTTAGAATTTTCTCAATTTTGCATGCCAAAAATAGAATAATTGTTTAATTCTGAAATGAAAAAAGTTAGGACATTTACAAACTGAGCATTTAGATAATCTTTCTGGAAAGGCATGTGTATATATGTTGGTCTTGCTGTGGTAGCTTTTAGAATATTCGAAATTCACAAAATTTCGACAGTTTTTTATCATTACCTGGGTGCCCAATATTTTTCTACTTTGTAAAATACATTCACAATAAATATTTTCTCTGCTGCAGTTTGTTTAAGGTTAATTCCCTCTTCGGGTCTCTTTAAATTCAAATTAAAAGTCCACAGAATAGCTGCTCCACTCCTTACTATTATCCATAAGTGGTTAGATTTGCCATTAAAACCTGAGGCTTCTCTTCTTGCAACCAAATCACGTATCTAGCAATAAAATAAGAATATACAGATGAAATATTTGCTACTTCAGACAGAAAATTGTGAAATTGAGTGACAAATAGAACATTAATGTTTCCATTTGATGATCCTATCTAACTGGGGTTAATCTTGGCTTTTTTTTATCAATGAACAGCTAAGTAGCTGATAACTTTTGATTCAACAGGATTACATATAATGTGTCCCGGTGCAAGAGGACTGTCTTATACAAGTCGTGTTCAGAGAATTGATAGTATGTGGATAGATTATGAAAGGTTGGAGGAAGAAATACTCATCTTTTTCAAATGTTGATTTCTAATTTAGTGTACAAAACCATCTTAGAATCGCCAAAAGGGCATGAATTATAGAACTGCTGAAATTAAGTATTTCAAACGTTTTTCTCGTTTTAGGTCATAGTGGCATCAACCAGCTCGGTGGGGTATTTGTAAATGGCCGCCCGTTGCCCGATTCAACCCGCCAAAAGATAGTAGAGCTCGCCCATAGTGGCGCAAGACCATGTGACATCTCACGCATTTTACAAGTCTCTAACGGATGCGTTAGTAAAATCCTGGGCAGGTATTACGAGACTGGCTCTATCCGGCCCAGGGCTATTGGTGGAAGCAAACCTAGGGTCGCTACCCCTGAGGTAGTCTCAAAGATTGCTCATTATAAGCGGGAGTGCCCCTCCATATTCGCCTGGGAGATCAGAGACAGGCTGCTTTCTGAAGGAACTTGTAACCAGGATAATATTCCTAGTGTAAGTAGATTTTTTATTTATTGTTGATCTTTGTAATTAAATGTTATAATTTTTTGATGCCTCTTAAGACGATTGAGACGTATTTCGTTTTCCACATTAAATGAGTAAGTTTGAAACGTCTATACTTGATTTTTTTCTTTTGTTCTTTGTAATGCCGCCGGTTGTTGCGGTCGTATGTAAAGGATCTAGGAATAAAGAAATTGTGGTTTTTACATCAACTCATTTTGAAGTGTATTATGATGTCTTCATCTCGTCACCTCTCCTGACAGCGACTAAGTTATAAAAAAAACTAGATAACACTGCGCATCAGGGGGGATATTTCCTTCGATAAAATTGCCTCAGTACATCTGCCTTGCGGTTGCTAATTTTGTTTTCTGCCACGCTGTGATATACAATGATGAAGAACAAACTTTTCGAGGTCGTAAAAGATATTGTGGTCCGTCAATTCGCGTTACTTCTTTGCAGTCTGCCCTAAACGACATTTTTAAAGGTCGAACGTCGAGGCGTTTTAGGTTAGTTTAAAAATACTGGCGTTCTTTAGTGATAAAACGGCATTTATATTTTTTCATTAACATTTCCCTTTAATGTGGCCATTTCAAGCTGAATGTGGTTTTTTAATATCCTTATAAGATAATATTAAATAGAGCATTCGAAGGAAGGGTTGTGGCCAGTTTCTGGCTGTAACTATTTTTTTCCAGAACATCTTAATATTCGCATGCATCTCCACGTGTGCTGCAAAAATGATGTATTTGATATCAGGCTGTAACGTCGACAGCACACTCAACTCACTTCTGGTCGTTTGCATCCAATATCAGTTTCAGATAATATAATTTTCCCGCCATGTTAGACGTTCGTTTTCAAATGAAGTTCTTGACAAAAATATCAGGATTCCATTTTCTCCTTAATTTGACACCAATTTCGTTCAAATCATCAGGAGAGAATATTGTGTACAGAGAGAATTAAATGTGTTTTGAGAGAGTAATTTCTTAAATTGCCATTTATTCCTCGGAAGCGGTATACAGTTAGGATTATAAGTCCCTGAATATTATCCAAAGTGTATAGCAATTATCCTAGGGTCGTGTTTGCCGAAGGAAACGGAATATTAGTAGCGCAAGGAAATTCTTTTTTAATGTGCATGGCCTTGGTCTGTATTAATGGTTAAAATGATAAAATACGATTCTCAGAGCGGTACTTAGCATAATAGTCAAATATTTGCTGTGGAAATTACAGGTTAGAACACGTGTGTCGTTTGCCATGCTGCCTTGCTGTACAGTTCTTTACCCAGTATTTCTTGTAAATTGTGATCCATACAAACGGTAGCATGGTTGATCGTTTGAACAGCTGGGCTCGGCGGGTTCCGCTCCCTATAAGGGTTAATTGTCCAAGTTAAAATTGAGCTTCGATGTCATTCAGAACTGATAAAAAGACGAGAAAATATATCTAATAATTGGCCAGCTTTGCAGTGGTCCTTGCTGACTCATATCAATTACTTGAGTGTTTGAACAAAGTCTGTACAATATGAGTGAAAAGGAGATTATATTGTATGTTGTATATAGGAAACGCCGGAGTATTGTGTGCTATTACGAGAGGATCTGAAAAGCCCTGAAATCACTATGGAATTAAAGTGACAATGGTATGGCATGTTATTCATGCACGGTCGCAATAGTAATGTGGGGCGGCGTCGAGCAGGTGATAACAAACATATAATACTACGTAAGAAATATCGTTCAAAAAAGAGACAAGCGAAAAATCAAAGTCTGTATAAAACGGCACATGTCTCTTCCTTTGGCGCCACAGCGATGACAAGAGCTCCCTAATGAAAGATATATCAGGGTTTGATAGAAAATATGGAATCTCCATAATTCCATTGTGGCTTTTATCTCTGCTCGCAGCAGTAGCTCAAATTACCACGGCTCTGTAACTCATCCCATAATCTAGTTTTCTCTGTCCCTGAGCGCCGGGCACAGCCATTGGATATCATTTCCCAACACGATTTAATACGTATTCTTTTGCCGAGTCGTCATCCTTAGAAATATAATTGTCTATGGTGATATCTCTCTTAACTTGATTGTGCCTTTTGTTTGCACATTGCTGTTCTGCGTTGTCTTCAGGTGGAGTGTGCCTCGTGGAAGACAATGTCGAGTCTTACGGTCTTGTAATAGATTCAATTACATCTTGTTCTTATCACACACGCCACCGAGGATACGATCAATCACCTTGTTTAAGTAAAATGATTTAAATGTGGAGTAGCTGATAAAAGAAATCGTTCTAATTTTCTGTTCTCGTTTGAATAACCAATCAGTATCTCATTCAACCTTCTGTGACACCTTAATAAGGAATTATCACACGACTTTATCCACCAGTTGAAACATGTTCAAATTCCAATTATTTATTTTCCTCGTTGTCTACATTTAACCATTCAAAATCCACATAATGATATGGAGGCAATAATTTTATTGAATAAATCATCTTTTGATTTATCTGTTGTTGAAAATGTATTTGCTGTCTTTTTTTATTTTCCATAAATATTTAGCAAATTTATTTGTGCGCGCATTGACAGATAGTGGTGATATTCATTTTCTCTTTCAGGTCTCATCAATAAATAGAGTATTGCGGAATCTTGCCAGTGAGAATCAAAAACAGTTGACTCAGAACACCATGTACGACAAACTAGGACTGAACAATGGTTTAGCTTGGCCTCGTCCTAACCCCTGGTATGCGCCCCAGCACACCCTTAGTCAGCCTTCCCAATACAACCCGCCGCCTCCCCCGCAACCGGAAGTTAAGAAAGGTAAGGCAGCATAGAAAAAATATAAAGAGCAATGTAAACCTTGTCTGTTCGTGCTCACGAAGACTCTTTTGCTATATCATTGTTTTCTAAAAGGGGAGAACAATTCACCATGCCCCAGTTTCTAATGGGCTTCCTTCATCCGTTGTTGCAAGCTTCACAACAAATTACGGGTGGTTTATTGAACTTTGCTTTCCTCGTGATCAAATCAACTAGGCGCAGTAATCTAATCTCTCGCAGACTTACATGGTTTCTATGGCAACTCTTCTACTGCCGCCACCTCTGCACCTCTCGCGGCTGCCCGGAGAGTTGTTTGCTAGGATTTTATTTTCACCTAAGTTCGGCTGCACTGTTATAACACAAAAAAGAAAATTGTCAATAATATGAAAGGGTTTTGAAATTGTTTTCTTGTCTGGATTGTACTTTTGGCAGTGCATTCCATAGCGGAAGAGAGTCTCAGGAATTGTGGTCCATGTCCAATGAGCCGAAAAAAAATTGACATACCTGTCCGTTTCCGACGTTTTGATTATATTTTAGAAATTGGCTGGAATGAGTCGATGCTACCGGATCAAAAGGCATTCAAGGAGTGAATAGGATTTTGTCCATTTCCTTAATAAATGGCATTATGTAAAGACTGTGTTGTAATCAATACTGGAGCTGTTTCTCAATCGCTTGTACCTGCTGACCCGATTGTTTTGGCGGCACTACGATCAAATATCACAGGTGCGAAAAATAGGGTTGACACAGCTTCCAGCCGTTGGTTAAGAGTTCTGTTGCCCTTTGGTGAACTAGTTTGGACTGTTTGAAGTCGCCGTTTATCGGCACTCAAGTTCAGAAATTGGACTAATATTGAAATCTTTAGATATAAGGCTATACGTTTTTTGTGGCTTCTCTCGTTATTTTACTCTCAAAAAGGGGGAAAGCTCCCAAAAGAAAATATCATGTTTGTAATTATTGTGAGATCTTTTTCACATTCGGAAAAGAATATTACCTTTATCATGCTTTCAAAGAGGAAGACGTGCTTGTATAGCTAGTGAGAACAGTGGATTTCTTTCGTGAGATCCAAGTGCCTTCAGGTTATTCTTTTTTTGCTTGAACACCTTGAATAAAACACGTAGATATTTTGTTGATTTAAGGTAAACCTTTATATTGAAAACCAATACTTTTTGCGTGCAGAATATTATGAAATGGTCTAGTATATCAGACTGAAGGTTAACTATACATATCTAGGCGTACGTTTTTACGCCACAGGCATATATGTACAATAGGCTGAAATGCGTTCTTTGACCAGAATTATCACTAACATATTCATGCGGTGCCTCAGTAGTTTGGATCCAGTTGACACGTCAGAACACAGTTGAGTGGAAATGGTTCTGTTTGTTAATTTCCTGCCCCATAATTCAACAAAACGCGGAGGAGATATCCTTGCGCGCGAAGGGCCATCAGCTCGTGGCAACGTGTTGTTAAAAACTAACCCAGCAATAAATTACCTATTTTGAAAATTTGTCTCCAAATAAAAGGAATTAACATGTCCACCGGATTTTGTTGCGTGGGGACAAAAGAAATATTTGATAGTTTTCCCCATTCTATTATTGCGGGGTAATGGATGGGAGTAAGAACGTTATCAACCGCTCTCACACCAGAAAGCATTTTCATGTAGTTCTTAGATTTGTACCTTTTGATAAAACTCCAAATTAAAACTTGATTGGGTGTTGCGACATTCGGCATTGGCCTGTATAGGGCAACTTGGTCTGTCTGACAGGTAGTGGAGTTTTGTAGACGTGGAATGTTGCTTATCTGTCCCTCAATCTGTGGTGCAGTGGGGGTGACAGACTCGTTGATGTCACTTTGTTGATGTGAGTGTATTCAAAGACTTAAAGCCATCGATTTCTGTGTAATTCGTTTTTCTGTTTATCAAAATTTGGAAAGTAATATAAATGAGTTAGTTAATAAAAGGATGATGTAAATCAACAGACAAGGAATTACAAGTCTGTATTCGGGCAGAATTCAATACTATTGTATTTTATGACAATTACGACAGATCAGCCACGAATCACCACCTTTAGGTTATGACACCACGGGAATTTCAACGCTAAATTTTTATCAGTCTAATACAATGTAATATGAGCAATAAGTGTCTTGTACTTGACGGCACCCAAGTACCAATTATTTGCACTTGAATGGGTTGTCCCTTGCAGGAACACGGGCTCAGTGATTGACCGAAAGTAAATAATCTCACTTAGAAAGGGATTTTGCCCAGTAAAGTGCAAATGGCAGGTAAACAGGTCTATGAATGATATGCCTGCAGCGTAAAAATTAAACATGCGTGTTTACGTATTAATGTATATAAATGCATTTGTCTACTCTAACCATACCGCAGAAAGATGGGTTCCAATGCGGTGTCTGGTGTGGGGTCATCTTGATTTAAACCTATCTGTTTGGGAAAGTGGCACTGAGTTTAATTCTCATGGATTAAGGAAGGATAGGGCATTCACTGGCTCTGTCAGTAGCCAGGTATTTTGGTGGAATTGTGTCCTTAATCCCTCAAAGATGCCACCGAGAAAGTGCGTCCCGGGCGACCAGAGGACGTACCTACTGACCCATTCGTCACTCGTGGAGTTCACAAACAGCCCTCAATTGAAACAGCAGATCTGCTTATCTTGATCGAACAGACTGCAAATTTTTGCCTCGGGATTTAAATCTCAAATATTGTCAGAAAATTGCTCAAGTTCTACTTGAGTTGATGCATTTGTATCGCAAATTGTCTCGAGCGTAATTCTAGCTCTATAGCTTCTTGCGAGAGGTGCCGCCACTGCTACTTCTTTAAGTTATTCTGGAAAACTATACCTCTATCAGTGCCTTGCTGACGACCGGAGGTTAGACTTGTTGACCTCTTCCAAGTTTTGGTGATATCGAGGCACTACAGTTAATTTTCCTCTAGGTTCTGGGACAAGTCTCCCCCATTTTTTTATTTCCCTATAAATTTGAATATATTAGTATTAATGATGCTTGATTTAATGAATATCTTACGACAAACGCCCAGATCAATTGTATTTATTCTAAATTAAAGTTTCTAACCGCTATTCTTTTTCTACTTCTCTTATAGCACATAAAGTAGTTTGCAAATTTATTGAAATGGGAGGAATGTGTATGCCCCGTTCTGTAATAATGTTTTTGCTCCAGAAGATAGTAACCACCCAGACAGTCCACAGCAGGGCGACGGTGGTTCCTCGTCGGAAAATGACGAGCAGTTACGAATGAGACTGAAGAGGAAGCTCCAGCGTAACCGAACCTCGTTCACCAATGCTCAACTAGAAGCTCTTGAAAAAGGTAAAAAAATCGAATTAGAAGATTTCTTAGGAACAGTCTCAATTCCTATGGCTATGTTACAAATCCTTGGTGTTTTTTTACAGTTTGTCCATTTAATACATTAACACAGTGCTCGAAGATAAGGAAGGAGTATTTCATATATATGAAATATATTAATCAAGCAACATTCCGGTCATATTATGTGGCAAATAATATAGTATAATTATGGCCCCTTTGTATGGTACCGGTTCGTGGTGTGAAGTATAATATCACGATATCCCCTCTTTCCAATCGAGAATATTTTGTTATCCTTCAAATCAATTTCTCTTTATTTGTTTTTATTCAAAGAGTTTGAAAGGACGCACTACCCCGACGTCTTTGCCAGAGAAAGGTTAGCTCAAAAAATTGACTTGCCCGAGGCACGGATACAGGTAAACAAACGTCTTCTTCGATCTAAATCCTCTTTTGTAATAGGAAACTTGAGACCTTTGAAATAACAGGCACATGGAAAAGGATAATTAGTGATCAAGGTGTCAATTTTAGTATATCAACATTCGTGACACACACCGTCGTTTATGAAAGCATGTAACTTGTGCATTGGTAACAACGGAAGTGATGTTTACATCTAAAACAGGGATCCAATTTATCAATACCGAACAAATGTACCTAACGCAAATAGTTTAACTGATTGAGAATTATAGCTGTGTCTGGAATTTATTGCAGGTATGGTTCTCAAATCGGAGAGCAAAATGGCGCCGTGAAGAAAAACTCCGCAACCAGCGAAGGGAAGCTGCGTCGGGTCCTCCAGGATCCGGAAGAATCCCAATAAACAGCAGTTTTCCGAACACCATGTACCCCACAATTCCTCAACCAATGGCAACTATGGCCGATTCGTACAGGTACGTGCAAAATAGGTACGTGCTTTTCTAACATATTAGGCATAAAATTACGTACCAAGTTGTTGAAATCTGTAGGTTGTTAACAACTACTCACTTCCACTTTTACAAGTGTTAGCTGTGGTTTTGTTGCCCCCATTGAATTGAATGTGACGATTCTATGCAAGAACAGGTTTTTACAAAAATAGAAACATCTTATTTTTTGTTCCAGTTCTATCCCCACAGTGCCTAATTACTCGTTGTCAAATAACATTGGGCCAACTAACCCGGCGTGCCTGCAATCGGGATCCTCTTCTTCCTATTCATGTATGATTCCTGGTAAGTAAACATTACATACTTGATTCAAAAACTGATAGATGTTTAAAAAGTTTTGTGTGTGTCAACAAAATACATTGAAAATCATTGAAGACAAATGAGCAAGAATCGGTCAAAAAGTGTTGATAATCATTAGACATAGTGGCGATGTCATGGATTGTGGTATAATGGATGATCTCCACACGGCAGTAACTTTTAGATGACTTCTGACGCTTTTTCTTTCATATCTATAATGTTTATGCTGTGCATGATAATTTCATGTTATTTTAGTTGACTAATAACCACATTTTCACCATTTCTCAGATTACACGAAGGGCGCTTACGAACCTCTGTCCCTGAGCGGCTACTCACGGTCCTCGTACAACCATGCGCCAGGGATGCAGAGTCATATGAGCAACACCAACGGCGCATCCACCGGTATGATGGCATGGGTATAACTTGTTCGTGACATGTAAGGGAACGGGTAAACATGCATACCCTTAAGTTAATAATTTTCGGTGGTGGTGTTGAAGAGTGCATGAATATTTTGTGGGATTTGAAAATGTTATGGTTGTTTTCAACCCTAGTTTAACTGAAGAACACTGATTAGCCCAACTGCGGAAGAGCATTCATTGTGAATTTCATTGTGGGAAATAAAAAGTAATATTTTACGATAGAAAGTAGTAATGTTAAAATTGTTTTTACAGGGTTAATATCTCCAGGAGTATCCGTTCCGGTACAGGTTCCAGGCGGTGGTCATCACCAAGAACTAAGTTCAATGGGATCCATGACTTCGCAGTATTGGTCACCACGTCTTCAGTGAAAGCATGGGCGACAAAACTTTTTTCTGCACCAGTCACTGGATACTAGCCAGCAGTTACGCTCAAAGCTTATTTTAATGCAATTACCTCATGGACAAAGACGGATAGAAAAATAATGCTCAGATGTGCCCCCAGCATTTAAAGGACCCAGCCCAGATAAACTACGCAGAAGACCAGCTGAAGCACGTGACGCCCGCCACAATGGCGGATAATATTTCACAGCAGACGATTTGAGGGGACGTTGTTTGTCTCAAAGAGTACCGTAGATGGATGATAAGATATAGTGTATATTATCGTTAAATATATATGAGTATATATATATATATATATAAAAAGTGACCGTGTCACTGTCATAAGCCGACGCAACAAGCTCAAATACGCACATGTAGACGTGTGACACTTGCTTCCATGTACAGTGGTATTGTTATTTAGTAGAAACTCGTGCTTAACTGTGCATAGGGGTTTGAATTATGGTGTGTTCATGTTAGTTTCCGAAAGACGAGTTGTCTTTAACATTGTAATATTTGTCTTTTGATGCCAAAGCATCAATTGATAATATCGTAATGATGATAGCTGTTGTTTTGTACTGATGATACCAATAATTGACAATCTTTGTTTTTTGTCTCGTGATCAAAGTGGACTTTTCACTAAGTTTAGTTTTGATTTTTAGTTACCATTTAAAGTTGTACTTTTATCTAAATAGAGGGTCCTTGCAGTTCAGTTTAACGACCATCAATATATGTTTATTTATGTATATATTGTATAAAATTGACTACAACAAGTTTTGTAAAATATTTTTATTTAAGAATGATATAGATAAGTATAGGTTATAGCATAGATATCCACAGGTTTTATTTCTTTTACGTTTTCATCGCATGAAAACAGTTGACGAGTCCCAAATTAAGCATAATATTTAACATTTGTATGAGGGTCAATATTGGAATTTGTGTCAGTTGATCATGTGATAACCTAACTCTACTTTCGGTTCGGAGTGTCTAAACGTTACGCCAGGCTTGCCATGCACACTTATTTTGTAAAAAAAATATACAAGCTCTTTCTATCAACAGATTAGCTCATTTTGTGCAATAAGCGTGCTACAGAGACCACTGTCCAACTCGGTTTGACTACAAAGTAAGCAGGTTTCTTGATGGAGCAGTCCCACACTCTGCTGGTACTGAACTTGATAGGTGGTAGTTAAACCAACGCGGAGGGTTTCCAGGATAAGACGCTTTTCAGTGAATCTTTTGTACGCAGATGAGTACTTTGGTTCACATACATTGGAAATGACTATACTTTTATAGTGCGTGTATCATAACTAGAATGTGGTAGGTTCTGTAAAGTAATATTTTTGTATGATTATTGTCACAATCTTGCCACAACCAGAGTTACTCACAAGTGAGTCTTCGTAGAATAATCACGTCTGTCAAAGAAAATTGGGAATTTTGTTATTGCTCACTGGAAAACCCGAGGGATTTTTTTTTTGAAAACCACCGGATCCTTTCCGAGGTTGTGTAAGTGAGTGTTAGTATACTAATACAGAGCATGACACTTGTAAATTGTTCTAGCTTAATAAAAGCGCACTTTACTTTACGTTTTTGTGAATACTAATTTTATCTGGACTCCCTCGATGCACATTCAATTACACGAATTTAAATGAGGTACTATAGGGCTGTTTAACAGCTTGAAGTTGTATGACCAACTGACAATGATTTTTTTGGTGAATCGCAGGATAACAATAAAATTGTCTTAACTGCACATACCTATGGGCTTCTGTGTTTTAATCAAATAATGCCAATGTTTTAGCGAATAAAAATAACAGCGTAGTGACAAGAGTCACATGACCTTGTCACGGCATCCAGTTGAAATTCCAACGGATATAAAGTTGAATGTAGCTAAATTTATCAACCCTGCTTTTTAAGACAAAAATGGTCCTCTTTGTATTTTGTTTTACATAAATCTACTATTAATGTCTTTTCTGTACTATGAACTATTAAATGAACAACTTAAGAAGACTATGATAAACTGTGAAACTGGAGAATCTCTCTTAGTGAATTAACTCAAACCATGCCCCCTACCTACACATACAAATTTTTCAAAAGTTTCAAATTAAAAGAGGGAGTACGTCCGTTGTGTAAAACAAAATGTATATGGCTGCAAGGTCTTTGTCTGATAATTGATTCATCTATAGAAGACCCTGATTAAATACCATGGAAATTGCTGCAATGACACCCTATATTGAAAGCAATGATGTAAGTTATAGTAGTTCAGCTCTTTTACAAAACGTGCAATCGAAATAAGAAATGGTTGTGCCATTACTGAAACAAACACATTAACGCCTAAGTAATGTCGTATATAAGGAATTTTATGGTCTTTAAAATGTTGCCGCCGGTGTTGTTTGTACTGATGTTGTTCCGTTTTACTCAGGATGTACTCTGTGTAATCCATAGAATAAAGTTGGAGACAACAGCTGTCATTGGAATATCATAAATCCATGGATGAATAAATTCATGAATCAATACAAATGCTGTTGAGTAGATAGTGTACATACTGGTGGCATGACACGGTGCATGAAGTTGGTTTTACAGAAACTTGTTGCATGTGGTTGGGATTGTAATAATAATAATAATAATAATAATAATAATAATAAGTAAACTGGTGTGCATGGTGGGTACATAGCATGCACTGGACTTACTCTTCAAGGGCAACCGAAAACCACGCCCAGTAAATAAGATTGTAGCAGTGATCTGAGAGTAAATCAATGTGAATGACCAAAACCGATTTCTTCATTCTACTTTGCTACCTCATTTGTCTAGTATTGTACAAGATTTCCATGCTTCTGCTTTTCAGCTTGTTACCAGATATGGCATTTCCTCTATGCCTGTCACGAGCGAAGATTTAGACTAAACCCCAAACCTCAAGAAAATCTCACGAAAAAAATGTAAAATTTACTTACCACAAATGGAGGTGGATTTGTACGCATGGAAACTAAGTAAGATGATATGTCTTTTCAAATGCATGATGCAGAGAAACATGAATTTAATATTAATTGTTTCGTCTTCTTGTTTTTTTTTTTTAATTTCAAACATCGGGAACTTCATATGTATTGTACTGAAAGGAACAATTCAAGGGGTTTTTGTTGTCTTATTCTCTTTATGAAAATTTTATCCGTATTTTCATGCAAGTTAAATAAAGGAAGGAATGCATCTATCCATTAAATGACTTTAAACTAGCCAATAAAAAGGTACATTTGAACGTGTCTTACAGGGTTTAGGGATTTTAGGTTGACATAGTGATAGTAAGTAAATACAGTATATAAAAATAAAAAACCAGGAACAACCGAAGTTCTTTTCTCTTACTGGAATCGCACGGTTCTTCTCTTTCTGAAATCGCACGATACCTCTTAACTGAAAGTTGCACTCATTGCAATCTTTTATTCCACATGGCTTTTTTCTTGCGACACACCTGATGTTCAAATGGACACTAAGTAATATCTCAAAATCAAATCAACAGGGCAATGTCTATAAACTTCAGATGTAGAGGGATATTAGCTGCCTTCTGTATGATTTACCTATTCACCATAATTTTACATTGACATATCTTTAAAAGTTAGTTCTTATGGTTAATCAAATGTATTTCTCCAATAAACTGAAATGACTTTACCTCAATGAGTTTCAGATGTTCCATGCAACATAAGAGAAAAGCAGAAATACCAGATTTTAAACTATGTCATCCAAAAAGGCTCAAAATAGTCCATAAAGTATATATGTCAGATGTCAATCTCCAAACCATCACATCTTTACCAGTTTTAAAGAAGGAAGCCCTTAGTGACATACCGGAGCCCAATAAAATAAAAATTGTAACACAGAAAATTACCATACTTCACCTCAATAAGTATTGTCAAATATTTTAAGTTTTGCTGGCACTACAGTATGATGACAACCGTTGATGACCATTTGTACATATATAACTGACCAGGCAAGGATACTGTATACGACAGTATTTTGTACATCCCAGAGAAATGCGAAGCACCAGTAAGTACCATACAGTATTACTGTCCCAGTAACAATAAAACTCTACCATCCAAATAAGCCAGAATATAAACATTCTGTACCACACAAGCATACTGTGCCAATACCCCATTCGACTGTACCAGACACACATACTGTGCCCACTTCTATGTAACTGTGCGATACACTCATACTGTTCCGGAACCAAACATCTGTATCACACGTGCAGACTATACCAGAATACCATGTCTTTTCCACACAGACATACTGTACCAGTTTTGTGCCAGAACATCTATCACTGTCTCATACCATCATCGTACGACAATCTTAAGATCGTGTACCACATACGTATACTGTACCAGTACCCCATTCAACGGTACCCGATAAATATGCTCTTACAGAACACATTTCCATACCAGTGTTATAGCAGTGAAAAAGTTATTATACTGATCTATACAGTGATTTGATATGAATCTTCAAAGTGTTATAGTGGTGGTGATACATTTTGCAATGGACGTAAAAGAATTCTCTATTTAGCTTTGGAATACTAATAATCAAGATTCAAATGAGAAACTGACAAAAAAACTCGCCATCGTTTTTACACAATCTGATATTATTATAAATGGGATGACAAAACTAATGAGGAACTTTAATCATTACCGGAGAACGCTCTTCGGTTCAGAAAGTTGGCATTTTTTAACAGGAAAACATACTACGTGTAGTTCCAAATCTATTTAGGTATTAATATTGATATTTGAAAGCAAAAAGACAGTTCTCTCATCTCTTTTGTTTTAGTTTAATTTTGAATCTATTTGAAAATATAAAACAACAAAGATTTCCAATTCACCGTAAAATTCCGGATACTGTCACAATAGTTTTTCCATGTAGTAATTCTACTTGAGAAGTAAAAATAAGTTTTGTTAAGTCCTATTACTTCATAAACTACTCAATATATGATAGGTTGAATTGTTAGTTATGTTTTAACAGAGCATGTATCGAGACTAGATAGTTAACGTTAGAGAATAACTTATATCTTATTAAGATTCACACACACACACACACACACACACACACACACACTACTATATATCATATCTAAACCTTTTTCATTGGTATTATTTATTTTTCAAAAGCCCATAAAAAAAGAATGTTACAGATTCTTCAAGATGTGAATGTTTGTTTTCAATGTAAAGATAAATAAATATAATGTTTATACCAATAAAATATAAAATAAAATAAAATATAAATATAAAGTAGAAGTGGTTATTTCTTAATCTAAAGTCATTATTACAATACGTCATACATTATAAACAGACATTCTCTCTGGCTCTCCAATATTAAAACCTGGGTACTTTCAACGGCATGATGAAATCAACTCAACAGCAAAAATAAAATCTTAGCTTTCCTTCATATGTGCATGCTTTTCCCTTTTCTTTTATCAATTTTAATTTTTAAAAAACGTGTTTATTTGTGTTTATTTATTTATTTATTTGCTATTCAAATAACCCCCTCTCCTTCTCTGGAGTCATACAGCACATGATCACACACACGCATGGAAAGCTGAGAGATTACGTTTTTTGGTTTTATAGATAACCCAAAAGATAACACTAAGGTTGTTTACGTTTTGTGTTCCTATTTTCTCTTTTGTGGTGAAAGAAATCGTTGGTGTTGGAGTGACGTTAGTGATGAATTGACTTCGATGTTGAAATAGCGTTAGTGTGCGTGGTAGTAGTGGCAATGGGTTTGGTATCCGGTTTGGGTGTGCAAGGAATTTCATTGGCGTTCAAATTCAATATATTTTTAGTTCCATGGTAGTTGAAAAAGGAAATGAAATAGATGTGTGCACTAACCAGTAACAGCTATTTTTTAAAGAATTGAGAAACTTACTAAATGCAGCAAATTGAGCGAACTAAATGTTTTTATGTTGTCAAAACTATGATGAATAATTTGTAGAATATTTTAGAGTTTGGTTATTCATTCAATTAATGCAATTTGTTTGTTCCATTTGTGTTATTAATGTGTTACGTTGTGTATTTAAATAAACTATATGGCGGATCAGGTTTCAGCTGTGCGAACTACGTAAGGAACTGTGCTTTTTGACCCGATGGCAGTCGTCGCATATGATTCCATTAAATCATATCTTACATGGGAATTAAAAAGATAAAATGCAGTTATCGAGAATGATTCATATCTATGGAAGAGTAAACATTCTCTAATACAATTTTGTTGATTGCGTGCGCAAAATTAAAAAAACGGAAGGTAAAACCTGTAATCCGGTGCGTTTGACGTGAAATGTAATCATCAAGATATTCACTCTCACTTTCAAACCCTTGGGGAATATTTACTCACTATTGTTAATGAAACGTTTGATAAGATGTTTCAATAATTGGACTATGTTCCTTGAACATAACAAATTCGTTGGCAGAGATATCTGACCAAAGCACGAGACAAGTGCACGCATTTAGAAAAAAAAAAGCTGAACAGAGGGGCCCTCCTTTGGCAAATGTATGTTCACTAAATGTTCAAACCGTTTCACGAATAGTTGGCATACCATGCATTGCCAATAATTAAACCGTTGGTCATTATGGGAATATTTTTGAGCCTATGTTTGTTACAGTGGCTTCATTTTATACTTTTATTTGCTGTCCTACCTTTTGAATGATAGCATAATAACTTCATCTTCACCTTCATTATTTAGTAAATTAAAATATATAGATATATATCCTAGATATAGATATAAACCTTTGTGTGT